ATGAAATGCACTTGTGAAGATATGCTTCATACGAGTAGCAAATATCTTATAAATGACTTTATAAGAAAAGTTACACAACCCAATCAGTCTAAAGTGAGATACATGCTCTGGTCTATCCACTTTAGTAATTAAAGTGATATTAGTGTCATTGATATCAGCCAACTCAATCCTCCCATCAAAGAAATCCTTAACCATCATAAAAATATTATCACTAACCTCTGCCTATGCTAATTGGTAAAATTTACCGGAGAAGCCATTAGGGCCCAGAGCCTTTGATGCACCTAAACTGAAGACAGCCATGTGAACTTCCTCTTGTGTCACAGGTAGTAACAAGCACTCATAGATAGGATCATCAATTCGATGGTCAATATAACTGAGAGCTTTATCAAATGGCCATGGTAGCGATGCTTGGAACAATTGCTCATAAAATCCTGAAAATAGATTAGCCACATCCAATAATTCATTCACCTAAATACTGTGATCGTCTCTAATTCTTAGGATGCTGTTTCTCTGGTGCCTTGAAATAATAGATAAATGGAAAAAGCTTTGAATTTTTATCACCAAATTGAAGCCAAGAAATCCTCAATCTCTGCCTCTAATACACCTCCTCCCTATCTATCAAACATTCAATTTCAACCATAATGGTTTTTGCTAACTTGGTATTCTCTCCCCATCTGCAATTTGCTAACTCATTTAGTAGCTCATTAATTTGTTTCTCACTGTTAGGAAATGTTTTAGAGCTCCATCGAACTAATGAATTCTTGCAATAATTGAGTCTATGCAGAAACACATCTAAAGTACTAAACCTTTGGTCATCTGGATGGCAAACCTAATTATCATGAACAACCTGCAAAAAATGTGGATGATTCGCCCAAAATTCTTCAAACTTAAAATTTCTAGGAGATTTACCAATAGTAAAGCACAAGTCTACTAATAACAAGTGATGATCAGAGCCCATTGGATCAATATTAAAGACCTGGAATTTTGGAAATGCTTCACAGAGATCAACATTCCCCAATGCACGATCAATATGTTCTTTAATAGTGTTAGCATCCTGTCTCCCATTCCACTAAGTGAACCACAACCATACCCAAGATCCATTAATGAGTAGTTTGTAATAAATAGTTGGAAATTAAGCATCTTTCGAACTGCCCTTAGATTACTACCTTCCTTTTCTCTTAGGGACATGATATTATTGATTACTACCTTCCTTTTCTCTTAGGGACATGATATTATTGAAGTCACCTAAACAAATCCATGGTCCTTATATACCTTGCGCCTGTCTGATCAGAACTTGCCAAACCTGAAGCTTATCTTTTTTATGTGGTGGGTCGTATACAAAGGATATATATTTCGAAACATCTAGAGTAGAAGAAAAAATACTAGTATAAATAATATTCAAGGAAGATAAAATATTAATTACAACTTCTTGGCACCACTAAACAGCAAGCCCTCCACTGAGCCCTTAGGGGTCTACAATCCATTCTTCATCAAACCTACACTTTCTTCTAATCTTTGACACATAGCTCATTTTCTTCTTGGTCTCCATAAGAAACACTAGTTGGGGATTACTCCTTTTGCGTTCATCTCTGAGATTTTTAACTGCCAAGGGAACCCCTAAACCTTGGCAATTCCAAGATAATATTTTCATGGTGAACCGGTGGTGGGTTCGTCCCTACTACCAGCGTCAAAGTCATCAACATCTTCTTTTGGCCCAAACAGATCTTCACTAAAAATAAACCCATCTGATGGGAAATCAACTTGCACTTGGTAATCTTTGCTAACAGGCTGAGACAATTTCCTTCTTCCACCTACTCACCTCCTTCTTCGAGAGCGAATTTGGTTTTTAATACTTCTACAAGAAACTTTGATAATTTGTGAATCCGCTAACCTTTGCCCTTGAACTGAATCGCTAATGTCCACCTCTTCCGTAAATAATTTCTTGCGTTTAGAAGCTATTGGACTACCAGGCTCCTCTATTTGTCGTTTAAGCACAACTTGTTGCAGCCCAACTGTAATTTTAGACATAGGTGATAACCCAACAAAAGGAACTAAGGCGCTGGTAATGCATAAGTCTTCCTTAGGAAATTCAACAGTATATGCTTTTGAGCGTTTAGGAACGTTAACAAACCCTTCTACCTCAACCATAGAGCCGGTAATATGAGTTGGACCTGTGAGCTCAACCCACCAAAACGCAAAAAAGTTACAGGTTTGGTTAAAGAAAATGGGTTTAATTATATGCGGGGCAGTTTTAGCTCACCTCACATAACTTGAACCCAAAGCTTGCTTATATTTTTTTAAAAAAATAGACAAAAAAATAAATAAATGAGAATGAGTTTAAAATAAAATAACTTCAAAGCAAGCATACATGAAATTACAATCTAAGTACTCGATACTTTTAAATTTATTTAATTCAAGTTTAAATTATGGTAGAAAATAATAAAAACACACTATTCATATATTTAAGTAGTGATATAATATAATTTGAATGTGATCAAGACAAAATTAAATAAAATATTTTATTATACACTGCTTCATTTATATAATAGCTTATTTAAATTATCTTGTTTGTAAAATAGTGCTACCTAAGCTAGCAAATAAAAAAGATTAGTTGTCCTTTTTATTTAAAAAATTAAATATATTTATGAAGTGCTAACCATATATTATATTACCATCTTAATTTGAACATAAAAGAAAAAAATAAATACAGAACTATTAGAATGTTTAGATGGTATGAACTAAATATATTATAAGTAGTAATCTAATAGTCATAGTTTTAATCATCATTATTTTCTTAAAAAAAAGAATTGGTATTTTAAATTAAGGCATCAATTTTGTAGCAAAAATATCAAAATAGGATGAAGAGAAAAGGGGATAGACAGAGCATTTTTATTAATTCATATATGCATAATACTGATTAGTTATGTAAAAGGCTAGAGAACGAAAGGATTATAAAATTAAATTAGTTTATATTTAAGTGATGATATAAGCATGTCTTAATTAGAAAAACTTTATTGTTATTTGAATAATTAATTTTTAGGAGGAATATATGAATTTTTTACCATGAAAAAAAATAATAAAAAGAGGTAACTTTATAATTTTTAAAATTTTAAAAAATTGTAAAAAAATATACTTTTTAACTTGTGTGTTGGTGCCCGCTGCAGGTTGTGTGGGTTAGTAGAATTCAACCCGCACAAAATGCAAGCCATACCAACTTGCCCTATCAAACCCACAACCTGATGCGGGCCAACCTACAGGTTGTGAGTTGATCAATATTACTAGCTATGCTTGACCATACTCTAATTGATGTGAGTCTCTTTAGAGTTAGGCCTATTATGTAGGGTTTCACTTCTAGTGATGTTAGAACTCACAAAACTACAACCTCATTGACTGCTGGATCCTCACTTGCAAATAGCTCCGAAACCACCTCCTTATAATCAGCATGATGCAAAGGTTTTTCTCTCCCATCATCATTACTAGTAATAGAGGGCTTACCATTAACATAATTATTAATTCAATGCACATGCAATGTTGAAGTATTCTAAATGTTAATGTTTGAAATATCTTATTCAATTATCTCACATATAATCCATACAACAGTTTTATCTAAAAATTCAAATATTAAAAATTAATATTTTAGTATACTCAAAATTTATTATTTCATGTAAATTAAAATTTAAATAGCAACTTCTTCTATTTTTAATTTTTTTATACCTACATATATATATATATATATGAGATATACTCACTCTATTAAAAAAATATAAGACATTTTTTGAGGAGTTGGATATTCAAAAATGTAAAGCATTTTTAGTCTATTGAGATATAATCATTGCCTCTCTTTTTTCTTCAAAAGTTCCCATATTGATAATGATTTTATATTTATTGTAGAGTGTTTAACAGGGGTAAATATGAAAAGATAGTGTTAGTTTAAAAATAGGTAACTACTTTATTAATGGGAGAAATTCTGTTAAAAATACCTTATATTTTTGAATGGAGAGAGTAACTATTAACAATTTTATTTTAAAATGAATTGCAATTAAAAATTAAAATATAAGCAATAATTTCTATTTCAAATGTGTTATCTTATGTATATTTAAAAATATAAATATCTTTTTTTAATTTCTTACTTTTTACAAATTAAAATATTATTAGCTTATTTATAAAAAAATATAATTAGCTTATTTTTCCTCGAATATCTTAATCCATGTATCACCTTAAAAAAAAGAAACATGTACTATAATTAATTATGTACTACATCCATTAAAAAAATATAAAACATTTTTAACTGAATCTCACTTCTTAATAAAGTAATTACTTATTTTTAAACTAATTTTATCTTTTTATATTTATCCATATTTAATAGAATGTTTTACTCTAAAATAAATATAAAATATAAAGTGATTTATTCAATAGGAGCATTTTTAGAAATAAAGTAATAATTATACTTTAAAAGACTAAAAATACTTTATATTTTTTAATATTCAACTTCTTAATAAATACTTTACATTTTTTAAGGAAATGGATACTATAATTTAGATAATAATAATATTTATAAATCATTATAGCCAAAACTAAAAATGGATAAAAATACATGTACATATCAAATAATGAATTTAAGTTAAGCAAATAGCATAATAAATTCTTTAAATTTGTTTCTCTATACATATTAAAAATATAAAAAAAATTATTATTCCAAAATGGCTGAATGTGTCATCCTGGTATGAATTAAAAGTTAAATCCTAAACAAAAAAAATATTATAAATTTGTTATCATATAGTGCAAATAAAATAAATTATTATTTAAATTTTAAATAACAATTTCAAGTACACTAAAATAAATTATTTTAAAAATTTTCGTATTTTATTTTTAGCTTTACTTTTCAATCAAATAAAAAAAAAATTCTAGTTTCTTCAGTATGATCAAGCAATAATTAAAATGTTTAACATTCCTAATTCAAAATTTATTCTTAAAAAGATATGTTTTTCCAATTGGCCGTGTTTTCTCAAGCCTTCGTCTCTTCTCTAGTTCTCTTCCATTCAAACACACTGAACACAAACCCTAACCCTGTGCCATGGACGCTCTCGAATCGAACCCTAATCCTCCACCATTCCTTTCATCTGAAACAGTAGCTTCGGACGATCATAACCCCACATGGACAGAAGCTAGGCCTGCGGAAAGATTTGCATCGGATTTCCTGAAGCCATATGAGCAACCTGCGAATTTCGATTTTCGGATTTCTTCGAATACCCTGGCTTCGGATGGCCAGAACATTAATGGTCAACCACAATCTGCTTCTGGGAATGGCCGCGATAGTAATTCGGAGCCTTTGAGTATAATTTATGAAAGTGCCAGGACCAGCAATACCAAGAGTGGCACCGACAGGGATCACTCTGGTGGGGAAGAGGAAACTACAAGCAAAAGTCGTCGCCGGAGTCGGTGGGATCCGCAACCTGATTCCAATGACCAGAGTGGCGGTGAAGCAGGTAGCAGAACGAAGAAGAGAAAGTCACGTTGGGCTGATGATGAGCCGAAGCCGGTGATTCAGCTTCCCGATTTCATGGGGGGTATTGAGTTTGATCCCGAAATTCAAGCTTTGAATAGTAGACTTCTTGAGATTAGTCGAATGCTGCAATCTGGTCTTCCTTTAGACGATCGCCCTGAAGGTGCTAGATCTCCTTCACCTGAACCTATATATGATAACATGGGAATTAGAATCAACACTAGAGAATATCGTGCTCGTGAAAGATTGCAAAAGGAGAGGCAAGAAATCATTTCTCAGATTATCAAGAAAAACCCTGCATTCAAGCCTCCCGCCGACTATAGGCCGCCGAAGCTTCAGAAGAAGCTATATATTCCAATGAAAGAATTTCCTGGTTACAATTTTATAGGGCTTATTATTGGTCCTCGAGGCAACACACAGAAGCGGATGGAAAGAGAAACTGGTGCTAAAATTGTGATCCGGGGTAAAGGGTCAGTAAAAGAGGGTAGAATGCAACAGAAGAGGGATTTAAAACCTGACCCTTCAGAGAATGAAGATCTGCATGTCCTTGTGGAGGCAGAAACACAAGAATCACTTGATGCTGCCGCAGGTATGGTGGAGAAGCTCTTGCAGCCTGTGGATGAGGTGTTGAATGAGCATAAAAGGCAACAGCTTAGGGAACTTGCAGCCTTGAATGGTACAATTAGGGATGAAGAATATTGCCGGCTGTGTGGTGAGCCTGGCCATCGCCAATATGCATGTCCCACACGCACTTCTACATTTAAGAGTGAAGTGGTATGTAAGCACTGTGGTGATGGTGGTCACCCAAGCATAGATTGTCCAGTGAAAGGAGGCACTGGCAAGAAGATGGATGACGAGTATCAAAACTTCTTGGCAGAGCTGGGAGGGACAGTGCCAGAATCAGCAATAAAGCAGAACAACACGCTGGCAATTGGTTCAGGCAATTCTGGAAGCAATCCTCCTTGGGCTAACAATTCTGGATCTACTGGTGGCACATCTCAAGCTGGCTTAGGGGCTAATCCAGTTAAAAAGGAGATTGATGATACAAATTTGTATATTGGGTATTTACCTCCCACTCTTGAAGATGATGGTCTGATCCAATTGTTTCAACAATTTGGTGAGATTGTTATGGCAAAAGTCATAAAAGACCGGATGACTGGGTTGAGTAAAGGATATGGGTTTGTCAAGTTTGCTGATGTCCAAATGGCGAATAATGCAATTATGGCCATGAATGGCTATCGCCTGGAGGGCAGAACTATTGCAGTGAGAGTTGCTGGTAAGCCTCCTCAGCCTACTGTGCATCCGGGCCCGCCAGCATCAGCCATGCCCACATATCCTGTTTCAAGCCAGCCAGTTGGTGCCTATCCATCCCAACAATATGCTGCTGGTGGTCCTCTTGGTACTGCACCCCCTGGAAGTTATGTCGGTGCCCTAGTTCCATGGGGACCTCCCGTTCCTCCACCATATGCTCCTTATGCTCCTCCCCCACCTGGATCAACTAGGTACCCTCCTATTCAAGGTCAATCTATGCCTCCATACGGTGTTCAGTATCCTGCAGTCCAGACAGCCCCTCCAGGTGCCCCATCCCAGCCTACGACTTCTGGCGAATCACAACAAAGTTTTCCTCCAGGAGTGCAGTCTGACAGTAGCACCTCTACTCAATCTACATCAGCAAATATGTTTGGGAGTTCAATGCCTGCTATGCCACCAACTGCTCAACCTACATATGCTACATCTTATGGTTATCCACCTTACTATGGTGCAGTGCCCCCTCCACCTCCCGCACCTATCCCAACTTCAGACCATATGCCTTGGGCTACCAATCCTACAGTGCCGCCTCCTGCATCAACTGCAGAGAAGACACCATATGGTGCAGATCAATCTCAGAGCATAGGAAATGTGCCTTGGGCGACAAATCCTCCAATGCGACCCCCTGCTTCAACTGCAGAGAAGACAACATATGGTGCAGATTCAGAGTATGAGAAGTTCATGGCAGAGATGAAATGATCTGGTTGGCGTGAAGTCATCTTCAGGTTTTGAAAGGTTTGTGTACTATCTATCTTACTTTTATATGATTCATCATTGGTGATTTGTGTATGTTATATGCTGACAGAATTTAACATTTTGTGAACTTTTTTACTTCCCTGTTCACATTTAACCTAGCAAGTTTTATGAAGTTGCTCATCATTATGCAAATTCATTGTCAAAAGGTTTTCCTCCCACAAAACCCATGAGTCGTCTCTGATTGTCTTGTTAGGTACTCCAACTTTACAGGGATTTAATCTGACATTGTAATGTTGAATTCATTTTTTTCATTCGTAATTTGTAATTTATCTATTTCTTGTAAATTTGAGTTATGAAGGGGGATATTGGAATCGAAAGGTTTCCGCCTGAGTAGGAGTAAGATAGAATATTTATATTGTAAACTTGGTAAGACATTAGTTGACAGTAATGTGGAAGTGAAATTGGAAGATCAAATTATACAAGTTTAGATGTTTGGAAGCCATTATTCAAAATAATGGTGAAATCAGTGGGGATATTTCACATAGGATTCAAGTTGGGTGGTTTAATTGGAGAAAAGTTAAAGGAGTTAAAAGTTAAAGGAGTTATTTGCGATGGTAAGATACTTAATAAACTTAAAGGAAAGTTTTATCGTACTGGTATTAGATTGGTTATGTTATAGGTAGTGAATGCTGGGCTTTAACGGGACAGTAAGAGCATAAAGTTGGAGTAGCAGAGATAAGAATGTTACGATGGATGTGCGGATATAAACGTAAAGATAAAATTCGAAATGAGCGTGTGCGAGAAAAAGTGGGGGTAGCACCTATTGAGGAAAAAATGATGGAAAATTGTTTGAGATGGTTTGGACATATTCAAAGAAGATCGCGGGAGGCAGCAGTGAGAAGAGTGAAATATATAATTTTGAGCCTTGTTAAGAGGTGTAGAGGAAGGCCTAAGAGAACACTTTTGGAAGTTGTTGAACGCAATCTCTTAATAATATTTGTAAAAGTTTGGTAAATGATAGAGCCCAATGGCCTCTTGCGATCCATGTAGCTGACCGCACTTAGTGGGATAAAAGCTTGTTGTTGTTATAGTTTATCTATTTCTATTATTATTGAATAGGGCATTTTAGGGGAGTAAACTTTTTTTTTTTCCCCGGGTAATTGGTACATATTTCTTCTTAGAGTTATTATCCTTCCAGGATAGGAGAATACTGGCTTCTAACGTTTCTCCTGTTCCCTTCTAATCCTTAATGAAGATAATCTGTGTATAAAAAAAATTTGCTTAATGTTCTCTTTTTATTTACTTTCTGTTTGATATCCACTTGTTTTTTTGGTATACCTGAAGGGGCCTTACGGAAAAAAGGTGAAAAATATTATGCCTATGTAAGTATGTGATTCTTCTATGCATAATATTTCCTGGATTGATGTTATTCCCGACTCATATATTAAAGTTAGTTATTGAGTGGTGCCATTCCTATTTTAATGCTGAACAAAAATCATTTGGAGCAGAAACTGGTTAAAGTTGAAGTTTTTTAATGTAATGAAGTAATGGATAAATGGGTCTAATGTGGTGTTTTGCAGATTACGTCGCAGTCATATCTAGTCTAGTTTGAAAGTTCTTTCATTTTTGTTGTTTCTCTATATGGCAGACGTCTAGTTGAATGCATTTGTTCTTGTTAGATTTAATAATGGCCTCATATTATTGTTATGTAATGCATTGATCATGTTGCAGTTCTTAACTCTTCATTGTTATTATCTAACATTGTGACAGGCTTGATGTTTCTTGGAGCTCTTCTGAACCTGATTTCTTAACCTCTTGCTATGACTTTCTTGGAAGTTTGGGACTCACTTCTTTAACCTTGCTGTGATCTTATGGCATTTGCAGAGATTTTGCCTAAAAGTTCAGGAGTCTTCATGCAGGAGAGACAATATCAATGGCTTTTTGTTATTATGATTATTTATTGTCTTTGCTTACCTTGTTGGACTCACGCATTCTTATTTTCCTTTATGTTGCTTATTGATTCATACTAGAATGTTTGGTTGCTAAAAGTAGATACATTTCTCGTTTGAATCATTTTAGTTTATTAAAAATGTATTCTAACTTATTTGTAATTTATATTGCAAGTGTCTTTGTTTTGATGGTTTTAGTTCTTTTTAATTGCCAGGTGCTGACACTGCCTTGTAGGTGGTGTTAGTAATATGATCCCAAAGATGACCCTGCTTTTTCATTTGGACATTTGGGATTTGTGGATAGATGCCTTTCTAAAGATAACTTCATCCATTTGCCAAATATGCTGTTACTAACAGTTCTAGCATGATCAGTAAAGAAAATTCCATTCTATCATGTTAAATGTCAGATTGTGGCACACATGCATATTTTTCCTTACTTAAATTCAGCTGACATGATGTTATGATCATCAAATTCTTGGATGATACAGGAAAATATCAGGTGATGGCATTTGTTTCTGAAGTGATTTCTTGTCATTGGCATAAGTTGAAGGGTGAGGCCAATATTATTATTGATAGCTTTCTTTGACTTGTCTTCACACACAAGGTTACCCTGTAATGCTGGCCAAAGATAGGAAATGAATGATTAAAGAATTCGAGTCTTGGGAGTCTTTTTTAATATCCTGAAGGATGTCTGCTCATATGGATTCAAACTTTTGGGTTTCACTGTGGTTCGTGATATCTTAGGTTTCCTCACTGGTCTTTATATGCTGGAGCCATGTTAGCACACTTGTGTGTTTGGTAGAGAAGTGCTTGCTAGCTATATTGAATTTATTTCTTTATTTGAACTGCTGAGCCTTCTAAAAGTAGTGCCATGCTTGGCCTATGATAGTTGTCTTGAAGCAATAAATGGGTATACTGTGTCCTTGCTTTTACTATGTCTTGGAACTTAATTTCTCATTAGAATCTTTAGGACCAGTAGATTCTTAAGGTGGACTATTTTGACTTATGAAGTGTTTGCTCTTTCTCAAGGTTTTAGACTATAGCATGTTGAGAACTGTCACAAAAAGTTTTGCTATATCGGGGAAACAGTTACTTATAGACATAGAAGTCTCTTGTATTGCTTCATCTTATGATCTGCTAACATAGTAGTTATCTATCACAGTTTATGATTTTCCATGGATGTGTTCGTAAAATTTTTCATGGAATGCCATGTACTTTCATGCTTGGGTCCATGTATGTGTAAGCTAGGAAGCACTAACTGATGATGTAATGTGTTTGATCTAACTTGTCTATATTTGTGGGATGAATGGGATATGTATGGTCTTGAGCATTCTTATGTGCATCGTTTGTTCAATGTGTGTCTTGTCATTTTTGATGAAGCCATATTCACAATTTAAAAGGAAAGAAATTTCATTTTGGCAATATAATCATTGTAGTTAATGGAACAATAAAGCATGTTATTCTGCCATATTCCATTGCAACGGATTGTACCTGGATCCCACCACCTGGTAATACCATTCAATTGGACATGGATCCTTCAATTAACCTTTGGCACCGTGCTGCCTGTGGTGGGCTTCTTCGAGACTCAAATGGCAACTGGATTTGTGGGTTCAAACAGGACTTTGGGAGACATTCTGGTTGTACTTGCAGAACTATTGGCCATTAAGAAGGATTAGAGGCGTGTCAACAACTAGGCTTCCAAAGGTTTCTTCTTTACTCTGATTCCTTGGATGCCATTAACATGATTTTGCGAGATTATGCAGCTGATCACGCTTGGAAAGAAGAAATTAATGCTACACGAGACCTCATTTAGTGTCTTGAAGGTGGAGATGCGCCATACTTATAGGGAAGTTCTTCAATGTGCTTATCACCTTGCTAGAGATAGTCTTGGATCTGGTCTTGGGATAAAATTTGTCCATGTAATTCCTAATGACTTAACACTATGTTGTGCGAAGATAGGTCCATAGTTACATAAGTTGTGTTTTTCTTGTACTGCAACTTTCAAGCCTTAGGCTTGCCGTTTCTACTCAAGAAAGAAGAAGAATCATTAGATTCATTTGCTGTGCATGCATTTGGCTTACTTTGTTACATGTGCTGAACATGAGCATGGTTTTACAATTAATCCATTGGATTAGTTGTCATCAGTCATCAACATTTAGTTGTATGTCTCTATACCCTGGTGTAGATGTTCTATATTGTAACATATTTCATCAGGGCTTTTGTGATTTGATTTCTGTTGTCTGCGTTCTATTGTCTTGTCTGCCCTGATTTGATGGCTGGTTTCTGAGTTACAGATTTGAGTTGTGTGTTTCTCTTGGTAGTTTTAGTTTTTCTTCCTTTCTATTTATCTTGGGAAAATTATACATAGGTCCCATAGAAGAGAATTGATTATTAAGAGGTTCTATAAAATTTATAAAATATTCTCAAGTTTCAAGTCTTATGTATTTACAACTTGATTAAGAGCATTTACAATTACAATTGATAACATATATTTGCAATTTACTATTATAAGTTGTCATTTTCTTTTATAGGTTGTAAATGTTCATTGTTTAGTTGTAAATGTCCTTAGTCAAGTTGTAAGTGTAAAGGATTTGGTAGTATTTTGTGAATTTTATGGAATTTTTGGGTAATAAATTTTTTTCTGTGGGATTTAAATGTAATCTTTCCTTTTTCTTTACATCCAAATGGATTCAAATGAAGGGTAAGTGTAGTGTGTTTGAGATGGAAAGTGACACATGTTATAAATAAAATAATATATAAATGACATTAGTATTTTTTAACTTTTGCAGGGCACTTGAACAGTTGAGGGGGGCATTGCGATGATCTAGTTTTGATTTGTGTTATGCCTTATTAAGTCCAATTTTATATACCCTTGTTTTGTTCTTAAGCTTGTCTGCAATGGAACTGTCAGCCTTTCTTCTCGGTGGGGAAGTAGTTAAAATTTTTTTCTGGGATAGTATGTTGTTATGTTTCAAGTTATCATTTGATCAAGGGAAAATTATAATCAGGCCTCAAATAAAAAAAAATTAATTATTTCTTCAATTTATTTACAGCTCAAACTTTTATATTTATATGTTAAACTGCACTATTTACAAGTAAGTGAAATTTATAAGTAATTAATTTTTTTATTTTGAGACTTATGTAATTCTCTCTTTCGTTAAATTATTGAATTGAAGTCTTTAACCTTCTGAGGAAAGCTCAGGTAGTTAGGATTGGGTGGGATGTGGGAATGTATCTAATGTTCAATGATAGAGAAATATAAGAGTATTAAAGGAATTGGTGAGTGCCAATTGCCTTAAGCCTGACTTCTTTTTTTTTTTTTTTCAAAGGAAAAGTCAAAATAAATTCATTACGAAAGGAATATCTACAGAGAAAAAGTCACACAATAATGCTGTTACATAGGAACTATGACGAAAACCTACAAGTAAAGAAAAACATTTCTTCGTTAAAGACCTTGAAGAGGTGTTTATCAAATTTTGAGACGAGAGATTATGTTCTGTATAATTGAATGAGAAGTCTACTTCAAAATAGTACCAGAGGATATAAAATCCTTATGATAACAATGTACATGCAGGCAAGACATCGGCATATTCTCTTGATGGCAAAATGAACTAATCCATCCAATGGCAAACGCCAAGCATAATAAGCCTTAAGCGTGACTTGATTCCGAGAATTGACAATGTTTTGGGGTTCAAGCTAGTTTTTAAACAAAAATCCATATATGTAATCATTTGGGGAAATTTGGATTTGTTTAGATTAAATTGGCTAAAAGATAAAACATGTTCTGGCAATGTTATATAGTAGTGAATGCTGGGCTCTAACGGAACAGCAAGAGCATAAAGTTGGAGTAGCAGAGATGAGAATGTTACGATGGATGTGCGGACATACACGTAAAGATAAAATTCGAAATGAGCACATACGTGAAAAAGTGAGGGTGGCACCTATTGAGGAAAAAATGGTAGAAAATCGGTTGAGATGGTTTGGGCATGTACAAAGAAGGCCAAGGGAGGCACCAGTGAGAAGAGTGGAACATATAACTTTGAGTCCGATTAAGAGAGGTAGAGGAAGGCCTAAGAGAACACTCTTGGAAGTTGTTGAACGTGATCTCTTAATTAATAATATTTCTAAAAGCTTAATAAATGATAGAGCACAATGGCGTCTTGCAATCCATGTAGCCGACCCCACCTAGTGGGATAAAGGCTTGTTGTTATTGTTGTTGTTGTATAAAACATGTTAACGTAAAACATAAAGTATTTGCCCATTGATATGAAGAATTAATAAGAATTCTAAATTTTAAACTATTATACGAATAGTATTTTGGACTTTAAACTCTTGAAATATATAAAATCTTTCCTTAAATTTTAAATTTGAAACGCCTGAAATCCTACTATTCAATTGGAGAAAATAACTATTATTTTTAAGGGTTAAGATAAATGTTACATTAGCGTGAGATTGGATCCTACAATTATAAAAGTAACAACCGTTTTTTCTAACTTAATGGTGAGGTTGGAGGGACTCAAAATTTAGAAATTGAGAGGAGCTTTTATGCATTTTAAAAGTTTAAGGTTTATAATGCTATTCGCGTAATACTTTAAGGTCTAAAATGCTCATTAATCTTTAATATAATATTAGCTTATTGGCCAATATTAAAATAATATATCGGTAGCCTGAAAAAGCAAGGCCAGTTGATACCATTGCATTAGCTGAAAATTAATCAAAAGATGTAATCCATAATTAAGCTAATACTCTCTCTCTCTCTCTCTCTCTCTCTCTCTCTCTCTCTCTCTCTCACACACACACAGGCATGAATTTCCCATGAAAAAATCTCAAATCAAATTTGAATACAATTTCGGTGCATTCCTTAAATTCACAGATTGATACAGAAGTCCTTACTTTAATTCACAGAATTATATAAAATAAACAGGGCTTGAAGGAAATGATGATCGGCAAGAGCAGAAAGAAATGTATCTAATGTTCCCTGACGCAAAATTTGCAAATGTGAAAAATTAACAAATTATAAGAAACTACTCCTCTAGTCTAATATATTAGTCACTTTTTAAAAGTATAATCTAGTCCACTTTACTTGTTAATGGGATTGTTTTGTTTCAAATTAAAATTTTTAAATTACCCGTAAAAAGTATGAGAGAAAAAAATAAAAAAAATAATATTATATGATTGACTTGCTTTTTGTTTTTTATCTGAAGGTTATGTTTGAAATTTCACTTAATTTTATTCCTTTACTTTTATTATATTGGTATTGATGAGGTTGGTAGAAATGACTTATAAATAAGACCAGTGAGAATATATTCCAAGTCTGAAATTATATATTTGTATACAAATATTAATGTAGATGACTTTAGCATATTGTTATATTGTGTAGATTTAAAATCTTGAGACTACTCTACATTTGTGTTATTGTCTTGATTTTAGAAAAAAAAAATATATAGTTTATTATAATACATTTATTGAATAAATGCAACAAGCAAGAAATATACATCTAAGCAAAAATGCTTTGTAGTTAAGTATATTTAGAGAAGCATTCATGAGATCATTATTTTCAATCTAGCTATTACTTTCCATGGTCACAGTAATTACTATTTTTTTTTAATGAAAGGGATAAGAAATGTTACCTGAAGAAGAATTACAAGGGCAGCACTAATTCATTTAACACACACACACACACACCAATATGCATCTAATTTTAATTCAATTGTAACTCAATTAGAACTTTGACTTATTGTAACTTAATTTTTATAGTTTTGACTTGGTTGTAAATCAGTCCCTCAACTTTAACTCTTGCAACTTAGACCCTATAGTTTTCACCATTTAAAATATTGGTTTCTATATTTAAAAAAATAAAACCATAAAGTTAAGATTATGTTAAAATTTATAAATAATATTTTAAATTACTAAACTCTTCTAATATTTATAAATATTATAAACATTAAAAATTTAAAATATTTTTAATCTTTATAATTTTTAAAAAATATATGGACCATCATTTATGTAGTTAAAACTATAGGAACTAAGTTGCAAGAATTAAAATTGAGTGACTGAGTTAAAATCAAGTAAAAACTATAAGAACCAAGTTATAATAAGTTAAACCTTAGGAACAGAGTTACAATTGCATCAAAATTATAAAAATCAAATAATTAATTTTTTAAGAAAATAATCAAAGAAAAATAGATAAATGACAATAAAATCCTTTCTAATTATATGACAATTTGGTCTCTTGAAATGTCATAATTTCAATGAAGTCATTAAGAACCTCTAAGTCAATAAATTTTAAAGTAAAAAGACTATTTTACCTTTACTGAAAGTAACAAGCCTCAATGTTTAAGGAATTATAATTTTTTTTTGTAAATTGCAAGAGTTAAACAAAAAATCACAACTTGTCAAATGTAATTTTTGTTATTAAAAAACAAGCCCTAATCAAAACTTTTACTTAAGGAATAACAACTTTTGTTTTGTGAATCACAAAAGTTAAATAAAAAATCACAATTATTTGTCAAGTGTAATATATATTATTGAAAAATAAGTTCTCAAAATAATAAACACCATTCACAATTTTTGTTTAAAGAATTACAACTTTATTCAAATAATCGTAATAATTGAACAATAAATTATAACTTGTCAATAAAGGTACAATAATTTTTTTAATTTAAAATTTATTGACAAAAAAGTATCTAAAAATTTTAGTAAAATTATAATATTTTAAATAATCATATTGACATTTATATAATTTAAAGGAATTTTACTATCATTTTTTTTAAAATAAAAAAGCGAACATTACATAAAAGTTACTTAAAAGGATGGTGGTGAGAAATATGGGGCAAACTTCTACATCCCGTGGTAACAACAATTCACTTCCGTATCATTTACCTCCACATCACCCTCACCAATAATAGGAATTGAAGGATTTAAAGTAATCAAATAAAAATCGGAATATGCATACTATGTTGGAAATTATGGGAGGCCAGGAATCAACGCATCTTTGTTAATGAATCTTTCACTGCAGAAGGAATCCTAAGTCATGTCCGAGCTCTTGTGGATCATACTATCAAAATTTTTTCCAATTTTAAATCTCTGTTATAATTTTGTCATCTTTGATCAGCTGTAATGCCTGATCTCTTTGTACAGCTTTCTTGATTAATGATATTTCACTTTCACTCAAAAAAAAAAAAAAAATCCAGGCACAATCCCATTACCAAGACTTTAATCCTTAATGCCACACCACCCATACTATAATAAAAATAGAAGAAATTATTCCAACAAAAACTCAAATGCTCCCCCTCCTTCATGGTGGAGCTTCTCAAGACTCATTGCTTCAAGGACAATGCTTACAAACATATATTAGTAGGCAACATCTTGTCCAAATAGTAATGAATTAATTTTCGTGATCAAGAAAAATTTGAAGTAGCAAGCTGACAAGGATGAAATAAGTGTGTGTGTGTATAAATATGTCGTAGAAAAGTTTTAAGTTAATTTCACACATATCAACTATGAACAACTTTCATAGAATTAAAAGCATAAATAATATTATTATCTATACTTATTATCTATACCTATGATAGGCATAGGCTTCTACAAGTGCAATTCAATTTGTAGAATAAAACTTGACAAGTTTAATTTTTTCTACAAGTGCATGGGGCAATTCTTGACATGAAAAATATTTAAAATAGAATGGAAAAAAAAGGATGACATATTAAACTGAAGTAGTGGCCAAAGGACATGCAAAGACTACATCATTTGACAGATTTTAACCTTACTAAAATATGAGACATAATGTTCTTCTAGAATGCTTCAGCTAAGTATTTAATAGGGAAAATGAAAATTAGAAACCTGATTAGAATATTAACAACAATTACAAACTTTAAATTATTGAAATTCCAATAAATGACCATGATCCTTACTTGTAATTAAAAATATGAATACTAAATTAAAAAATCTATTAATTATGCTTGAGAGTTGAAACTATTTATAATATCAATTAGGAATTTACAAGTTAGTTAAGAATCCCAATTTTTTACTATTGATATACCTATAAGCTACTTGAAAAATCAAGTAAATATATTTGAAATTATTTGTAATGTTAGTTAAAGATTTACGAAAACAAGTTATAATTCACTAGCCAATTACTTATAATTTTTGCTTTCAATATAAAGATAAATCACTTAAAAAATCTATTAAATATATTTGAAATTATTTGTAACGTTAGTTGGGAGTTTACAAAAGTCAATTATAAATTGCAAGTCACAATCACTTATGGTTTTTTGCTATCGCTTGAAAAATTAATAAAAAATAATTGAAAATCTTTCTAACGTTTCTTAGGAATTTACTAAATTCCGTTGTAAATCTCAAGTCAATTAATAAAAGATGATTTATTGTAAATAAAGACTATGATCTATTATTGAAATTTCAATAATTTAGAATTCATAATTGCCATTAATGTTGCTATGGGTCCCTAATTGTCATTTTCCTTTTTTAATATGTTCATAAACATTGACAAATGAGACATACTGTCATTGCAAATTTGAAATATCTCCATGCGAACATCATCCAATCCCTTGCTTTCAGTATTAATGGAATATGGGATGGCCAAAACCGTAGAACGCACAATTGTGAAGGCTAATGGACTCATCATGGCTTCAACCTCTTCGAGAATTGGAATGATACTGGTGCACGTAATCAAGTAGCATTGCCAAGTTTTGCCAATAAAATATTGTCAAGAACACATAATATGATCTCCTTCATCCCTGTATATTGCATTCCATTCTTAGATACAAATATTTCTTTTTTGTTAAGCAGATAAAACTTTTTTTTTTTGAAATTAAAGGGGCACGAACTAATAGACTGAAGTTACAAGTGAGATACAACCTATGATCTCTAACTTAAAGGAAAACTTGCATGCTGTTAGATTATAAGGCCATTGGTAGATATATAAAACTAAATTTTTAACCATTAAACAACTTAGGAATAGAGTGTTTTAAAAATTACTCATAGCTGAAATCTTTTCAAGCCAATTGTAAGAATATTTGGAACTGTAGCAGGAAGTGAAAATTAGATTGTATGTTGAAGATGCACAACACAATACTATGCAGAAAAGAACTGAAGGCAACATGATGAATTGATGGTCAACCAACAAACAAACAAAAACGCACTGACAGCAAGACACTACAAAAAAAAAAAAAAAAACCCCACAAAAGACAGAATAGTGGCACGTTTTGTTGCAAACAGAAGGCAATTGATCGAAAAGGCAGCCCCCACTATTTAATTACTGAAAAGTCCTTGATATATGTAAAAATTAATACCCATTGGTCAAAATATTCACTTTTGAACATTGTTTTGACGGTAGACAAAAGTTAAAAAAGCAACATGACAAAAGATAAAAACCATACGGTTGGATTACCTCATTCAAGACAAACATATCCAACATGGGGTTGATGACTTTAATAACATGCAAACAGTGATTTGCATAAATAACTGTGAGATAAGTTAAAATAAGTAAAATGCAAATTACCACTGAATTGTAATCAAGAGTCCATAATTGACCATTCAATTTTCATTTGTGGCACATAACAAATAAAATAAGCAGCCACATACATGCCATTTCAAATGACCTAATAAATTTAACATATATTGGATTATAACTGATAAAGAGAATACATTGGAAAACATAGCTATAGTTAACTTATATTAATATTTTAACAGGTGCTCGTGCACCTAATACATATTGTTCAAAAGGCTAGAGTGCCAATGTTCTACATCCATTGGGAAAAACCCGTAATATTGCATTACATAGCCCCATCAAATATACAAAACTTCTTACCTAAACTTAGTTCCATAATTTAAGACAAATAAAATGACCTAGAAGGCTAGAACTACATACGCAGGACACTCATTCCACACATCCATCCATCAATCTCATCAGAAGAGAGCCATGGAACTTGCCACTCCGATCTGGGATGCCATCAAGTGCTTTTGTGACTGCACAGCAAAACTAGCTGCTTTCTTTTCTTTTCTTTTGTTTTTTTTTTTCCTTGACAGTAAATTGCTGTCATTTCTCATTTGGAGGAAAACCTACAATCTCCCACAGAGCATTGGACTTGGCTCCAAAATCAAAGTGAAGATGTGAAGCGATGGGTCCACCTAGCTGAAAGCAATCCGCGTATGGGAAGGACAAAACAAGTAAATTATTGGCTGCAAAGTGTGAACAATGTCCAAACGGTATTAACTGCTTACCCAAAACTTATCATTCTGCTTCAATGATTGTTAAATGATTTCATATCCTACTTCAGTATGTGGCTGAACCTGAGCGAAATGAGTTTAAAATTTGAAACTTTCTTCTTTCTTTTGTATCTATAGATTGCAGAAGATATTCATAAACAAGGTGCTATAATAGTTCAAGATAAGTATTTGGGCAAATATTTCCACAAGAATTGACTGTCAAGTTATGAATTTGGAAGAAAGGTTGTCAAGACCCTAGATCGTGTAAATAAGTTGATGATTGAATGAGAAAAATTCAATAGTACCATGTTGCTTATAAGTTGCTCCAAAAGCTTGTCAAAGAAGTGCTTGTACCTAAAACCGTGAGCATGGGTGAGATGCTAAACAAGGTATGGGATAGCATCGAAGATGGAAATGTGGGCGTTTTTTATTTGTATGACCTCGGTTGGGCTAGGAAAACAATTCTCCTCGGTTGCATTGGTGATTTGGGTTGTGGTATTAAAAGATCGTGACATAGAGAAAATTATGGATGATATCTCCAAAAGAAAAGGCATTTGATTGAAAGGATAAAAGCAAAGATGAGAAAATTAGACAAATTTTTGATGTTATGAAACAGAAAAGGTTTCTTCTTATGTTAGATGATCTATGGCAAGGATTAGATCTTAATAGCATAGGGGTTCCACCTCCAGAGACAAATCATTCAAAAGTTTTGTTAACGACACGAGTTGAAAATGTTTGTGACCAAATGCAAGCAAAAAAGTTTGAAGTAAAATGTTTGACAAATAAAAAGGCTTTTGATTTGTTTTGCGTGAAAGTGGGGGAAGAAACTCTAAACTCTAACCCTGATATACATAGCCTAGCAAAACAGCTTGTCCTTGAATCCAAGGGGTTACCACTTGCTTTGATTACATTTGGACAATCTATGGCTGGTCAAAAGAACCCCCAACAGTGGAGGCATGTTATAAACAATTTGCAAAGCTTCCCTTCTAAGGTTAAAGGTATGGTAGAGGAAGTGTTCTTCATTCTTAAGTTTAGTTACGATAGCCTTCCTAATGACATGGAGAAAAAAGTGTTTCTTGTACCTTGCTTCATACCCAAAGGATAAAACAATTTTTATTCTTGAAGTAATTATCTTATGGATTGGAGAAGTATTCCTTGGAGATTATCATACTATTGATTATGCCTTTAATCACGGTCAAAATTTAGTTGAAAACTCAAAGGTTGCATGTCTTGTGGAAGCTGATGGAAAATTCCTGATTAAGTTGCATGATGTGATTCAAAATGGCTCTTTGGTTGATCAAGATCAAAACAAAAATAAAATCCTAGTGCAACAGGAAGCATTAAAATCATTAGAAAGTGATAATCCTATTGTTGAAAAGATCTCAATTATGATGGACTACCATCACAGAGAGATGCAAACTTGGAATCTTTCATTTTGTCCACACCTTGTGAGCTTACTCAGGAGGAACTTCTCAATCATAAATGATTTGGGAAATCTCCAATTCTTGAATGAATTGAAGGTTTTAAGTTTTAACAATACCGACAAAGTGATCAGTCTTCCTAAAGAAATAGGACTGTTGATGAAGTTAGAATATTTTGAGTTATCAAGATGTAGTATTGCAGAAAAGTTTCTCTATGGAGATGAAAAACTCAAAGGGGTTGAAAGTATTTGTCCTACAAAACATTGATTCTAGTCCTGTGAGGTTAAGGGTGTTCTAGGTTACTACAAAAAAAATGGTGGGAAGCCAATGATACAATAGAGGAATTAATATTGGAGCAATTAGAGTCACTACCATTCTTGGAGGATTTAAGCATAAAACTAGTTACTCCCTCTTGCGTCAACAAATTAAGTTCATCCAAGTTGCAACATTGCATTAGGGGCGTGGGTATTGCATTCCATGCTTCAATAGTTCCATCTATGGAAAAATGGAAATGTTTGGAAAGAATAAATCTTCATGATGGTCCTATATACTATGCACAATCTAGAAGTACAATCTGGTTGACTTATAAGTCATTAGTTGATGGGATTATTTTATTTTAAATTAAAACTCCCAAACTATCCATGAAAAGTAAGACAGAGAAACAGAAAAAATAATATTGTATTATTTATTTACTTTTTTCTTTTTAATTGAGATTTATACATGGAATTTGACTTACTTTAATTTTTTGTACTTTTGTTGTATTGATATTGATGAAGTTGGTGGAAATAAGTTATACCTAGGATCAAAGGGAATAGTTTGGAAGTGTCATTAGTTAATCACTTTAACATATTTTGCAAGCTAAGTAATACTATTTTTGTCGAATGTCATTCAATAACACATTTGACATGGCTCAAATACGTTCCTAAACGTTAGCTTCATGTAACTTAATGTAGTTTGCTTGAGGAAGTTATTGTGGAAACTAAAGATAAGAATGACAAGTAAAATATGGATGGCATATTTGCAAATTTGGAGACAATGTATTTGGGAAATATGCCAACTCTAAGGAGCATCTACAAAAAGGCTTTGCCTTTACCTAAGGTTGAAGGTATTGTAATAACTAATTGCCCAAATCTAAAAAAACTCCCTTTTGATTGAAGCTCCACAAAATATTTGAAGGAAATAAGAGGGCAAGAAAACTGTTGGGATGACTTAAAGTGGGAAGATCTAGCTATTAAACATTTATTCCTTCTAAATTTTAGGTAAATATATTTCTAGCTTAAACTCTTATGCTATGTTTGGATGCATAAGGATTTGGATTTTAACTAAATTCATTGTTTTGGTAATTAAAAATGTATGGATTTGAATTTAACCTAAATCTAAATCCAAGTTTTATCTCAATCTCCTTATAATTTAAAATCCTTTCTAAACCCATATTATTTCAAATCCTACCTTAATCTCTTTGTAATTTGGCTAGCTTGTCGACAGTGTTGAATAGGACCAGATTGCTGGTGACGACCAGGATCAAGTGATTGGTACCAAATAAAACTGAATGGCCAACAACTATCGGGATTAGACTGCTGGTGCCAATAGGGACCTGACAGTTGACTTCTACCGAGACCGGACCACCGGCGACTATTGGGACTCGAGTGTAGGCAATGATTGGCACCAAAAGGTTGATTTCCATTGAGATTGGACTACTGGCCTTAATTGGGACCAGAGTACAGGTAGCGATGGGACCAAACAACTGACCTCTATTGAGACTAAATTGTTGGCGTCGATCGAGATTGAAATACAGGTGACGACAAGATTGAATGGTCGACTTCTACTAGCACTAGGACAAGACCATTGGCACTGACCACGACAATACTATCGATACTAATTAGGATTGGACAACTACTTGCAACTTAGATCAGACGACCGGTTCCTACCATGATTGGGATGGAATCGATGAAGGCCCGACAGTCCTATCTTAGTCGGTGCTAGTGATATTATCCTATTCAGTGCTAATGATCAGGTCTTGGTAGAAGTCAACCACCCATCCCAGTCATCTCCTACACTCTAATCCTGATTAGCCCTGAGGGTCTAGTCTTGGTGGAAGTCAGCCATCTAGTCCAGGTTATTGTTTGTGCTCTAGTCTTGGTTGGCACCAGTGGTTAGGTGTACAGGAGTACAGGTAATGATTGGGATTGAGAAAATAGCGTCCAGCAAAATTGGACTGCTGGTGCTGATGGGACTAGAGTACAAGTGACGAAGAGATCAAAAGGCCAATTTCTACTAGGATCAGGCTACTAGTATCAATGGGGATAGGACCATTGGCACTGACCAGGAAATACCACCAATACCAATCAAGAATGGATAGTCGCTCGGGACTGGGACTAGAATGATGACCTCAATCGAGAATAGACCGCTAAAGGTTTGGTCCAAGTCAGCACCTATGATCCTATCCTAGTTTGCACCAGCGATCCTATCCTAGTTAATAGAAGATGTAAAGTCCCCTATTTTGTCCAAACTTTACTAATCCAACCACACATCACAATACAATTACAATACAAGAAAAAAGATATAAACAAGCCTTTAATTATTTTTAAAATGTGGGATCTCAACTTCATAAAAAATATATTCAATAAAAAAGGTTAACGAAAGTGTAGACTCATACCCACTTAAAAGAAAACAATAAATAATCTTCCCTAAAAATAGGCCATGCACCACAGCGTACACCACCATATGTCGTAGCATGTGGTATAGAGTAATGTGCTCTAGTCCTGTGACATGTGCCACGGCTTGCACAACACGCATCGCAACACATGTATCAAATTCTATTGTCATGGTATATTTCTTATACGAACTTTCACCATGCACCATTTTCACAATGTTTGATTAGAGTGATTCAAGTACCCACATGAAACTAATGACACAGTCTATCTAATGAGATATATTTGGACATGATCCAAATGTCCAATCTTAAATTGGACATCCAAGTGTACAAAGCTATTTTCATTTCAAAATTTGAGCCCCTTAAGTACTTAATTCTCACACATTGCTTTATTAGATCACTTTAGGCCTTGAACTAAATCCAAAAGGATCAAACACACTTGATTGACACATTATATCACATACAACATATCATGATCACAATTTGACCTCTTAATGCTACATTACACACTTTTTGGTCTTATATGAGATAATACCTATAACCATATAAAAACAATATACTTGTTCTACTTTCAATAGTCTAACCTCCACATATAGGGCTAAACCTCACCATATGGTTACGATTCACAATTTCACTTGACTTACACAAACAGGGCTAAGCCCCACCATTTAGTCAAGTTTCACATAAACACACATTATCACATGACAATTCATATTCATTACTAGTGGAACAAGTTATATAACATAACACATACTTGCTTGAATAGCATTTAGGCCTATCCACGTATTCAACACTGTAATGCACTCAGCGAGATGCAATACAATATATATAAGCAAGTTCTCAAAACAATACAACCACACATATATGCATCCTAGTTGGTAACCAAATTCTTAAATATAATCATATACATTCATTACACCACAGGGTAGTTTTATACCACTGCTAAAAACAAAGCTACTCTTTCCTCGCTTCCTTTCCTAACCTTTTAGAGCTCTCTTCACCTATGTACAAAAGGTAACGAGGTGAGACATACGTCCCAATAATTTAGATAAACCCCAAATATCGATTAGTAAGTAAAATCAAGAATAAAAGATAAAGTAGCATCATTTTCAATAAAAACAATATAGATAGGCATATACACGATATCATACTCAATCATCACTATGCTCATGCACTCCCAGTCCCCCTAGTGGAGCAAGCTCTACATTCAGACCAGGACTTCCAGCCTCACACTAAATAGGGCTTACCAAACCACTGTCTCATACCAGGTATCATAAATATGAATAGTCTCCTGAGTCCTTACTAGCGAAACATACTCAATGCTTAGATTATTAGGACTTCCTAGCCTTACATAGAGTAAGGCCACGACCTCCTACCTTAGTCTAGGGTATACTTAAGGATATATTCCTAAGTCCTTCCTGGCAGAGCAAGCTCTATGCTTAAGACTTCCTAGCATTACATAGAGTAGGGCTGTGACCCCCTACCTTAGTCTAGGGTGTACTCACGGATGCAAATGCATATGCCTCTTCCTATACATCACAAACATCACTCACCCACACGCATGCATAATCCTTTCACAATACTACTACTCTATCAGTTCATAAAACATAATGTATACAATTTATATAAAATACTTGTAAATAATTTTACAAACAAATAGACAAAAGGGTTACTCTAGTTACCTTTACCTTTATTACTAGGGTTACTATTCATGCTGAACTTCTTAGATTGTATAAACTCCTATGAGCACTCCCTAAATGCTCAATCTACACAACAAAACATCCTTTATCGATCTCTAATACTTTACACAAAGTAATAATTTGGCTAAGTCAAATTCCTTATCATATAACTCAATCTATTAGCACTTCTTTTAAGTCTACTTAGCCAAATCACTATAACCACTTCTACCTAGGCCATCAATGTGACCAAAATACCCTTTTAACTCATTTAATCCAATCATTTACCCCTTTTGACCTAATCATTTGAGCCAATCCAAGCCTCTTTTCTTAAGGTTCAACTATTAAACCTTAGACCAGTCGTAAAACTTTAGTTTCACACCCAATAGCCCTTTTTAAACCTTCCTATTAGATTTTAACCTTCTAAAACTCCCTAATGCAATTTCTCTACTAACTAAACTTAGAGAAATTAAGGTAGAAATGTTGCATAAGGTGGTACAAACTTATTAAAAAGTTACTGGTTGAAGCAAACTCCTAAAAACTCTTGCCCTAGCACAGCTAGTCCTTCTCCCTCTCTTCCATATGTTTTTTCTTCCTTTTCCCATCTGAGCCACAAGCTAATCGATGTCCCAACTTATCTAAATTCTGTGCCATACACCGTGGCGCAAGTAGCACATGTCACAGCATGTGGCACTATAGGACAAATCTCATAGGTGATCACACGTTATATCCTGCGTCATTGTCTCGCCAATCAATCCTACTAACAGACCAACCATCTAATACCACATATTAATCCTTTATTGAAAACCATATTCCATCCATTAATTATTAATTTATACATAATTAGCACTAGTTTCTTGGATTGAAGTTTAGGATGTTATGCAAGAGGTTCAATTTTGATGGAAGTCGCTCGTCCTATTTTGGTCGTCGCCTGTACT